CTGCAGAGGTGATACAGCGTGCAGGACACAGTCAGCTGTGCACCCTGTACTTTAGTGGTGGTTTTGCCAGCCTGAGGTGTAGAGTTGGACACCTCCATGCCCCAGCTCAGTGCTTGGCACAGCACAGGGGCAGATCCATCCTCAAGGCTACAGGTGGTGTAGCATGGATGTAATGCAGCTGGCCAGGAGCCAGAGGAGATAAAACGCTGGTGAGAAGGACTGGTTATTGGCTGGCTGAAGAACCTTGTTTTTGTCCTGAGGGCTCATGCTGGTCAGCTCATTTCACTGCCTTTGTGTCTCTCTTGGTGTTTCTAATGCAGCTGACCCCTCTGGAGAGGCTGGGGGTCTGTTGGTGCCCTGTCACACCTCTGGATGTGGGAGGGTGTGCAAAGAATCCCTGTGCTCTGGTGTGCTGGTCCTGTGGCTCAATGGTCTTTAATAGGATGCGTGGTCCTTTTGGAAGGCAAAAGATAATTATGCAGTTATCCAGATGAGAACATGGTCTGGCCTTGGGGCTGAACTCCAGCTCTTGGGGAAAATAAGATAAGCATATTAACAAGGAGTGTTTACTCCTCTGTGTGTTACCTGAGAGCATCTCCTTACTGTGTGAGGGTCTTCTTATGACAGGGAAAAACTTTCTCCTGTGGGATCTGGAAATATTGCTGGATACTGGCCAGGCCTCTGAATTCATCACCTTTCCTTGGTGGAGGAGACCCATCAGGTCTGCAGCTGGGTGTCTCATGACTGTTGGCTTTTATAGGGAATGGGCTTTTTGCAACAGGTTAATTCCCTGCCAATTCAAACAATGAGCCTGTGACACTTCAAGAAGCTTTACATAAGCCTTTTATGGAGACCAGTTTTGCTGGAAAGACTGCTGTTAACTGAAACAACACTAAGGTTTCTTTCAGCAAAATCAATTAAAAATTACATGCTGAAAACAGAAGCTGAATGCCTTTCCTAATTACATACAGCCACTGTTAACAGAATAACTTTTATTAGTGTGCTGTTTGCCTTTTCCATGGGTCAAGACAGTGTAGACATGGGATTCCTCATGTCCACTCTGCTTTGTTTTTTGGTTGTTAGTTTTTTGTTTGGTGGGGTTTTTTTCAGCTGGTGATTTTGTTTATTCTGATGCCCCTTTTCACATCTGGAGCCAGATCTTGTTTCCCCTGAAGTCAAGGGGCTTTCCCCAGGGAGGTAAATGAGCAGTTGAACTGGATCTGTGGCTGATAGCAGCAGTGCTCTGCAAGGCAAACTGGCTGGCTGGGGGGCTATCCAGGGATTACTGATGGTTTGCTTAGGTGCTGTGCATAGCTTTGTTTTCTTGGTAAATAAAGATAAGCCTTTGGTTCAATGAGGTGTTTTTAAGCTTTTCTGAAAGACCTTATAAGAAAGACCTCCAGGCTGCTGCCTGGAGACCTGATAGCAGCCTTGTAATATCTAAGAGGGGTCCACAAGAAGGCTGGAGAGAGACTTTTTGCAAGGTATGCAGTGATAAGACAAGGGGGAATGGCCTTAAGCTGAAGAAGGGTAGATTGAGGTTAGATATAAAAAAGAAATTCTTTACTATGAGGGTGTGAGGCCCTGGCACAGGTTGCCTTGAGAAGCTGTGGATGCCTCATCCCTGGAAGTGTCCAAGGGCAGGTTGGACAGGGAAGGTGTTCCTTCCCATGGCAATGGGGGTTGGAATGAGATGATCTTTAAGGTGCCTTCCAACCCAAACTGTTTTATTGCTCAGTGAAAGTTTTTGCTTGAATGTGCTGCAGTCCATGCCTCTGTAGGTAATCTTTGCTGATTTGATGTATTTTGTGCCTCTTTTCCCCATGGATTTGGCTGTGTGGGCAGAGTTGTTTGCATCTGAGGAAAGGGTGGGAACAGCTCAACCAGTGCCAAAATGGGTGTGAGTCTCCATAACCTCAGCTGTGGGATCTGCTCTCTGTCACTTCAAGAACTCTGTTTGGGGGAGCTCTGAGGATCAGTGCAGTGTGGGATTGGGGCCCCAAAGACCAGAGTGGATATAAATGTAAGCAGAGCAAAATGAAGGATGTGCTGTTTTCTGAGAGCAGCAGAAGGGATGAAATATAAGCTGATTATCTGGTGAATGAGTGAAGCAAATCAGCTAAAACCTGCAAACTGGCACAGAATACCCCACCAGCAATCCCATCCCTTCAACATCTGCTTAATGTAGAAGAGGAATTTTCATGCTGGAGTCTCTGGAAATGCTTCATTCAGCTTTAGACAACATAAAGGGCTGTGTCTGAGGGTCAGGAGTGTAGTAATGTCTGTGGCTATCTTATCTGACAGTCAACAGCTCGTGCAGACTGATTTGTGCTTCTAGACAGTGCATCTTGCACAGAGCTTTCCACTCTGATGTGGTTGTTGCATGCTTGTGAGATGGGCTCTTTTACAGCCTCTGGCATGCAGTGCTTAAAGGGTTGCTTCTCTGCACTTGATCAAATGGAAAGTGCAGAGAGGAAAAAAAAAGCCCAGCCTCTCACGTTTCCGTGTCATGTTCAATCAGTCAGAGTGCAGGACAGTTCAGGCCTGATTTACAGTTGTGCTTACCAAGAGCAGTCCTGTTTGGAGATCCACATATCAGATCTCTGTGCCCCATTGACTCCACTGTGTATCGTCTGTGAACTTTGGTGGAACTTTCCACATGACTAAGGACCACTGAATAGCCCACAGAAGCTGTTGGCTCTGCTAGTGTCTACTTTTCCTTTATGGTTGTTTAAAGGGACTGATTTTAAACCTGCAAACCCTGCACATAATGAGTTTGTATAAATCATTAAAAAACCCAGCTCGAAGGGGCCTCAAGAGTTTGTGTAGTTCATCCACCTGCCCCAAGGCTGGAGAACCTTTGCTGAGTGCCAGTCTCTCATACTTCCACTTTTTTTTGGTGTAGCTGCTACATTTGCATATTAAAACATGTGAACTCTTGCAGGCACAGACTCATTTAGGGAGTGCTTGCAATGAGAGCTTGGTGGTGTTTGAGAATTCTGGTGCTAGTGCAATAAAAATACAAAAATAAAAATTTAAAAATCCTCTCATCTGTGGAGGGGATAGGATGTGAGTTGTGTTCTGGCATCCCTTTTGTGACTAATACATCCTCATGCAGGCATTTCACAATTAAAGAGCATGCAGATGCAATTAAGAAATAGCTATGTGTAACAATTACAGACAAGTTTGCAAAGAATGGAGACTTAGAAACCAGAATTAGGCTCAATCTTTAAGTCCTAGAGCACCAGGGAATATTTAGATTAGAACTTTTGAAACAAGGAAACTTTTCTACAAAAACACTGGTTTTCTGTCTTTCCTGCTCTCTTCATTCTATTTTAAAGGCATAAAGGTCACCAGAAGGAGAAAACATAAAAACCTAAATATATTTTATGTTACTTAAAATTTATTTTTAAAAACTGCCCCTAAATATTACTGTTATGTTTCTAGCCAGAACTGCTCATCTGACTTTTAACATGTTCCCTGATAACAAGGGCATTCAGGTATATGATTTCACAAATTTTGAAAACATTTGCTCTGAGCTCTCCAGAATTGCCCAGCATTAATCCAGTATTTTATTGATCTTTGTACCCATCTCCAAACGAGGAAGCTCTCAGTGTCACTCCCTGAGAACATGAGCCCTGGGTTGGCATTAGGGAGGCTCATATATATAGCTGGGGAAAAGGTCTCTCTGTCAACCTTAATAAATGTTTTGTACAACTTCTTGAAAGAAGGATTATGCTGACAAAACGCTGTTGCATCTGCTCCTCTGACTTGCTGAAATGGAAGATTTCTTGCATCACAACGTGTTGCAGTGAGTGAAGTTGCTGTATTTGTGAGGGACACAATGAGAGACTCTGTGTTGAAATATTTGGCCTGCAGCAATAGCTGTAGTTAGCCAGGGAGAATTTGACTTACTCTTTTAGCTGCAGCAAGATTAGCACCTGATGTTTCTTTGGTCAATAATCCCAATGTTTAGATCTTGTTCTTTATGCCAGGGACCAGGTGGGTTACTCTGCTTTTATGGCATTATAAAGCCATCCAGCAACTTTTAATACCAGTGATAAATCACTGTCACACCTTGTCTACAGATTCTATTTCAGAGCTGTAGTGATACAGATAAAAACTAAAAATAATAACACAATGGAAAATTTCAACTATGACAGAGTAGTGCTGCAGTAGTAAGTGTTTAACAATTCAGAATGACTGGGGGAGATTTCCCTCACCTGTCAGTGGTACCCTGGGCAGGATGGTGGGCACAGCTTTGTTTCTGCCCTCTGTGTGCCAGCTGAACTGCTGCTGGGGCTTGTCCTTAGCTGCTGGTGCAGGCCAGGTTGCTGTTTATGGGACCTGTTCTCATGGAGCAAGGGGAAAGCATTGCTCATCATTTGGCCTCTGAGTCATGGCACCTTTGCTGTTAATAGGTTGGAGAACCTCCCCTTTTATGAGGCTGTGCCTGAGGGCACAATTTAATCTTGGAATTGTATTACCTGGTTATTATTCCACCGAAGAAGCAGTGGCAGTGTTCCAGCTGACAACAATGGAAAGGGGAGCAAGCCTTCAAGTCTCAACTGTGTACAAATGTGATGTATTCAGAGCCACAGAGATCCTCCATGCTCTGAGCTGATTCCTTCTGAATCAATTAAAGTTTCACAAGCACGATTTATTATTAACATCCAGAGCTGCTTTCACAAATCTCTCAGCAGCATAGTAGAGGCGTGCTCATGAATCAAGAAAATGACTTCCAAGTAGGAGAGGTTATTTACTAGCTAAATCCCTGATCCAGGCATACTGCCACGGCTAAGTCTATCCAATAGGATGTGTGCAGCCACATCTGAAGCATTTCTGATCTGAAGCATTTTTGTCATGGCGCCTGCCCAGAGTGGGTCATGCCATCTTTGGCTGTTGTGCTGGAAAAGGAAGGGAGCTGGAGGAGGGGGTAAATTGGGAAAAGCAGGGCTAGCCATGCAAGGGAGCAGGGGGACATTATGTCATGTGCAAACCTGTGTGGCAGCAGGGGCAGGAGGAAGCGCTCCCTTCAGACTCTCCAAGGACATTCCAGTCAGCCAGCGTGGGCTCTGGTAGTGAGGCTGCCCTGTGTCTCCGTGTCCAGACTCTGTGGCACTTGTGCTAAGAGTCTGAGCTGGTGTGTGACATTTAGCAAGCGGGCTTTGGGTTTTCTCCTCCCTTCTCTGGATCTTGTTACGTTCCTTTTGACATTTACCTGAGCATGAAAATGTAGCAGGGTCCCATGTCCTTGTTGACTCGTGCCTAAAAGCTGAATTTAGTGTGCTTTGTATTTCTGTTTGTCAGTGTCTCCTAGCCATAAGTTGAGGAATTGTATGCTTATCTGTGCTTTGGGGATGTTGACACAATCTTATCAACTTTGTAACCTTTGCCATTTCCTGCACCTTCTCTCTTTTTTTTCTTTTACTTTATAACCATTCTTCCTAGCTGGAGCTCCCCATTCCAGTATTACTCATATAATTTCTCATATATTTTGAGCAGTAGGTTGAAACTTGATGCCCAAACAGCAGCTTTACAGCCAGAACTTCTACCTTCAGACCCTGTTGAGCACAGGGAGGGAGCAAAAACCTTGGCAGCTGACTCCTGCTTCTTGCTACTCTATCCAGCCCTGATAAATGAGAAAGCCAAGGAGAAGCTGTGACTGCTGCCAGCTGGCCAGGCTCCAGAGAGATAGTCCACCCCTGGGAAGGTCAGAAGGCAGCACTGCCCAGCCACTCCACCCTTGCAGCAGCACAGAGCGTGGAGCCAGAGCTGGGCCTGCCAGTCCTGCTCCTGCTGGGGTCTCTTTGGGGCCAGGGCCACCCCCTGCAGGAGGGTGACAGCTCTTGGTGTCCTTTGTGCTGCTTGAGATGCAGCAAGCCAGGGGAGATTCAGTCAGTCAGCTCATGCCTGGCACTGCAGAGTTAATTTTGAAGTTGTGGTGGCCAATGGATGGCAGCTGATCTGCTGGTGGTAGCTTTGAGATAGGACTGGTGTAACTCCAACCTGAATTAATGTTTTTTTCCCCCCATCCTTACACAAAGAGAAAATGCCCAGATAAGCCTTCATGGCATGATATCTGTTAAATAAATATCTTTTATCAGTGATTGAGCTACTTGAAACATAGTTCCCTGTCTGCTGTCAGCAAAGGCAATACTAAACTGTGCTGCTTCTTGGAACTCATGAGGTTTTGGAAATGAGCCAGAGCAAAGGGAAGCCAGCTTTCAAACCCCTAAAGCCACAGGTCATCTGTGGCTTGAGTGGGCTGAAGTTGGATTCATGCGTGGAAAGTCTCTATGTCACAGATTCCTCTACACTCTTTTGATCTTGTGAAATTGCTCTGCTCACTCAAACTGGTGACTGCCCTGACAGGGATAGCCCCAGGGAAAGGACAGCTATTTGGAGTGATAAAATTAATGGGAAACTATCTTGCAGCCTTTCCTCTTTACTGCTCCTCATCATCTCCACTCAGAGCTGCCCTGGGGTCCTTCAGGACTGACAGTTTTCCCAAGCCACGGGACAGTCAGAAGTTCCTGCCAGAACTGTTGGATACTGCTTCCCAGCATCAGCCTGTGGCATCTCTGAATCCCTGCTGGCCAGGAGGCAAGGCAGCAAATGCCAAATATTGCCAGTAAGCTGACATTGGAATGGGGACACATGGAAGAGAGAGAATGGTCTTTGGAGGCCTGGCTGTTGTCTGTGCTTGAGTTAAACGTGGCATGGAGTATTTCACATTCTGTCATGTCTAGGGCAGGGCAATTGAAGTCACTGTTTGATTGCCTGAGAGCTTTCCCTACTTTCTCCTCACTTTCTTACAACCAGGCTCATGCAGAAAATCTCCACCTCTTCCCCAGGGAAGCACCTAATATTTCCAAGTCTTTGCCCTGTCTGTGTCTTCCTTGGGACCTTGCTGTGGTTTGGGGCAGTTCAGGTTGTTCTCCTGTTCCCTGGGGGATGCAGTTAAAAGATACCTGTCCTTCCGCAGAGCTGGGTTATAGAAATAGGCACATCATTCCCAGGCAATCCCTATTTCCCTGAAGCCCACAGCATGCAAGTGTGGCTGGCTGGAGCCTCTGGGTGTAGCACAGGCACTGCTTGCTCCCTGGCTTTCTCTGGGCTGTCCTGGCACAGCCCTGCACAGCACTGGCCAAGTGAGTGTCTGTCCCAGCGCTGTTATGTAAGGAGGAATTTCAACATTAATTACCTGTCTTGGCTTTGGGTTTCTTTCTGTCTCTGCTGACACCAGAATGAGTCTCAGAAGATTCAGCGGAGCTTCCGCATACAAAACAAACAAACTGTATTTCACAGGCTCTGGGCTTTGCTGATTTCTGCCAGGAGCATCCACTTTTCTGGGATGTTTTCCCTTTGTTTCCCTGCCACTGAGGAGGGACAGCAGTTTTTCTGAGATGCTGCTGAGCATAGCTAACATGCTTAAGTATTTGAGCTGCAGGGAGGCTGGCACTTCCAGTCAGGCCAATTAAAAGGGAAAAAATTAACATTTCCCTTTGCTCTCAAGCACCTTCCTGCGTTCTGAAGGGCTGGAGGAGGGAGGGATGCCATCAGAGCTGTAGAGGTTGGCTGGGACAGAAGTGTGTGCTGGGCCAGAGGTGTCGTGTTCTCCCTAATGGCTTTCCTCCCCCCATCTGAAGTCATTAATGCTCGTTAAGCCAGGATGGAAACAAACCCAAACAACAACAGTCTACAAAATAATTCCATCACTCCAGACTAGTTCTTTTTTTTCCTCCAGTGAAGCAATTAGTCTCCTGTGATCCCATTTTTAGCCAGGCTGGAAACAACCAGCCGGACAATAGTGAATTCCTCTTCTGGCAGAGCAGTCATCGGATCTGCTCCCTGATGGGAGAGGTGAGATGAGTCCCCCTGCCTGTCTCTAGGGGAAGAATCTCCCTGCAGAAATTCCTGTGGGCTTTGCTGAAAGCCCTATTTTTGTGCAGCCTCTCCCAGTGAGTCACAGCCTCTGGCTCTCTGGCTACTCTGAGAGCTCTCAGTACCTTGGCTTTTCTGACAGCCCACTGCAGGGTTAATTCTCTGTGGTTTTGCTCTCATGGGTGTACAGCCCGTCCCACTCGCTGGCTGATGATGCCAGTTGTGGGTGCCAGACAGTCATGAAGTAACTTGTGGTTTATACCAACAGCAGAGCCATGTAGGACTCGTGTGGAGGAGGGGAGAGACTTTCCAGTCTCGCTCATTTTAGTGGTACTTGGACCTAGGAATGGCTCAGCTTGGACCCAGGAGTGGCTTAATTTGGTCCTAGGAATGGCTCAGTCCACACTAGGGGACAGTGCTGTGGAGCAGCAGGGTGTGATACGAAGTGGGTCTGGCAAAATTTGGGGTGTGTGATAGGGAAGAGAGGGGCTGGCTAAAATCACTGAGGCTGCCCAGAGAATCTGTGGATGTCCCATCCCTGGAAGTGTTCAAGGCCAGGCTGGAGGGGGCTTGGAGCAGCCTGGTCTGGTGGAAGGTGCCCCTGCCCTGGCAACTGGATTGGAATGAGATAATCTTTAGGGTCCCTTCTAATCACAGCCAATCTGTGATTCTCTTCTGTGATTCCCTGAAGTCCCGTGTAGCACCACACAGAGCTGTGGGGGGAGCTTGGCCAGAGCCACCCGGGAAATGACTCCATTCCTGTAACTGCTTGTAACATGAGTAACCTGAAGTGCTGTCCTCTGCCCAGGGCAGAGCCTGCAGCTGTGCCACACACAGGGCCTTCCTCTTGCTTTTGAGGTTTTTGTAGGCTGTGGGGAAGCACTGGGTTCCCCCTCCATCGCTGCAGCACCCTCACTGCCCTGAAAAGCACAGATGGGATGAGGGGGAGCAGGTACAGCAGGAGAGCACTGTGGCTGTGCTGCTGGAGGAGGAGACTTAAATCACCAGAAAAAGGGATCTTGCCGTCTCCAGGTTCTGAAAAGCAGCCCCAACGCCACCTTAGCAGCTGGACAGTGCTAAACCCAAACACTTCCCTTTCAGGACGCAGGAAGACTCTAAGCCCAAATCCACGTTTTACCTCATGCACACGAGGTAAAAGCCACAGGGTTTCTAGTCAGGTGCCAGGAAAAGCTGCAGCTGCCCAGAAAAGGGCAGCTGAGGACAGAGGGGAGCTCTGCTCGCCGGGCTGCTGGGATTAAGAGCAGTTCACCGCGTGTTTGAGTCATGTGTCACCAGCACCAGGCTCTGACTCCTCTGGTATGAAGGTGCCGTGTGTGCACCAGGGCCGGCGGGCTGTGCAGTGCTTCTGCTCCAGATGGAAAGCCAGGGTGAAGAAATGTGGACACCATGGGGCAGAGAGAGAGAGAAACAGCAAACGTTTCTCACAGTGGCTTGTGAGAAATTTTAGGGAGTTGGAAAGATGTGGTAACTTGTTATTTGCAGGTAGTGTTTTTCTACTTTGTTTTCCTGTTCTCTTCAAGGACAGTGAGCGAAGAAGATATTTTTGTTAGTTAGCCAATCAAATAGAATCTATCGTATTGCTCTATAAAAACCGCGCAGTTTTCTTGAATAAAACCTTCTTTACCTTTTCTACAATCCTGCCTCTTGCCTGTTCCTGTGTCATTCTCGGCACAAGAGTGACAGAGAAACACTTGGCAAAGAAGTCTGCCAAGCAGGCTCATCTGGGGATGTGCAGGAAAAGCGTTTCTGCCTGATCCCTACAGCTTGGATCAACACCAGGACGCAGCCTGCTGCATCCGAGCATCACCCTGGGTGTCGGCTGCTCCCGCTCCGTGCCTGGGCAGAGCTGCCCTGGTTGCTGTGGAGGGATGAAAGGCTGTTGATAAACATTGTCATCTTGTTGGGTGTTCTCTGGTCTGAGTCATTCCGGCCATGGTGATGGTTGCTGGTGGTGCCAGGAGTGCCAGCAGGTTCTTGGGGTGGGGGCAGCAAAACAAATGCCCGAGGGTTGAGTTGCAGGTGGGTGGAATGGCTCTGGGGATGTGGCAAGGGAAACCCAGGGATTCCAAAACTGCAGCGCCAAATTAAGGGATTGGCTGGAGACGAAGAAGGATGGGTTTGCATTTGTGTCACTGCGGCGCTTCCCGAGTCACCACAGGGACAATGGGAAGTGGGAAGTGAAGTAACCCAGTGTTCAAAGCTGATTCCAAATGCTCTTG